ACAATGATAATAAATAAATACCTGGCAACTAGTCCTTTTTAACCCTAAGACTTAACGTAGTTCATACTCTTCTGCTTTTCAAAACTCATCATGTGCCGTGGTTTTTCACTTCAAACCATAGACCACCGTGGTTCAGTGATCTGTGAATATTCCACAGTTTTACACAAGGCTGCGCCTTTACCACAAGTTAAGGTGGCTTTTTAAAAATGAGATTTGACAAGAATGCTTTCATAATAAGCATTCAGGTCAACCTTTACTACTGGTAATGCAGTGTTTTACTTAAACCTGACCAATGTAAAAATAAGAAACAAAACGGTGTAGAGATGGCACAAATGGCATAAAATAAACAAAGAAAATTATGATATATAACAATAATGAAAGAAAATTATGATAAAATAGGACTTAAAGATTTTTATAACATCATTTCACAGTACTGTACATATAGCCTACTCAACTTACGACCAAGTCGTGTTACGACCGGTCTGTCAGAACCGATCGTGGTCCTAAGTCGAGTACTAACTGTAATTGTTTTATAAATTTGAAAGTTCCGGTGTTAAGATGCCTACATATCTATTGTGATATTTTCCTGTTGGACTAGTCCTTTTACCACTATATAATGTCCCTCTTTGTCTTTTTTAACTGTTGATACTTTAAAGTCTGTTTTGTCTAAGAATAGATACTCCTGCTCATTTTTGGTGTCCATTTGCATGGAATATCTTTTTCCACCCTTTAAGTTTATGTGAGTCTTTATGTGTTAGGTGAGTCTCTTGAAGACAGCAGATACTTGGGGTTGGTGAATTTTTATCCATTCTGCCATTCTGTATCTTTTTTTTTCTTAGACTAATGATTACCATTTACTGTATTCCTAATATGTTTCCCTATACATGACACATATTGTCTTTAATTTTTTTTATTATTATTATACTTTAAGTTCTACGATACATGTGCAGAATGTGTAGGTTTGTTACATAGGTATACATGTGCCATGGTGGTTTGCTAAATGCATCAACCCATCACCTAAGTTTTAAGCCCCTCATGCATTAGGTATTTCTCCTAATGTTCTCTCTCCCCTTGGCCCCCAACCCCCAACAGGCCCCAGTGTATGTTGCTCACCTCCCTGTTTGCATGCATTCTCATTGTTAAACTCTCACTTATGAGTGAGAACATGTGGTGTTTGGTTTTCTGTTCCTGTGTTAGTTTGCTGAGAATGATGGTTTCTGTATCTTTTAAGTGGAGCATTTAGGCCATTTACATTCGATGTTAGTACTGAGAAGTGAGGTACTCTTTTATTCATTATTCTAGTTGTTTCCTGAATACCTTTTTTTAAACTGTTACTGTTTTATAGGTCCTGTGAGATTTATACTTTAAGGAGATTCTATTTTGGTGTATTTCAAGGATTCAAGACTTAGAGGTCCTTTTACCAGTTCTTATAGTGTTGACTTGGTAGTGGCAAATTCTCTCAGTATTGTTTGTCTGAAAAAGACAGTATCTTTCCTTCATTCATGAAGTTCAGTTTTGCTGAATACAAAGTTCTTGCCTAATAATTGTTCTGTTTAGGGAGGCTAAAGACAGGACCACAATCCTTTCTAGTCTGTAGGGCTTCTGCTGAGAAATCTGCTGTTAATCTTATAGGTTTTCTTTTATAGGTTTTCTGCTGCTTTTGCTTCATGGCTCTTAGGATCCTTTCCTTTATCTTAACTTTAATAACCTGAAGACTGTATGTTTAGGTGATAAATTTGGGGGATGAATTTCCGAGGTGTTCTTTCAGCTTCTTGTATTTGGATGTCTAAGTGTCTAGGAAGGCCAGGGATGTTTTCCTTGTTTATTCTCTCAGACATGTTTTCCAAACTTTTTTTTATTTTTTTAAGACAGAGTCTCACTCTGTCACCCAGGCTGGAGTGCAGTGGTGTGATCTCGGCTCAGTGCAACCTCTGCCTCCCGAGTTCAAGCAATTCTCCTGTCTCAGCCTCTCGAGTCGCTGGGACAATAGGCGCCTACCACTATGCTTGGCTAATTTTTGTATTTCTTTTAGTAGAGACAGGGTTTCACTAAATTGGTCAGGCTGGTCTTGAACTCCTGATCTCAGGTGATCCAACCTGCCTTGGCCCCCGCACAGTGCTGGGATTATAGGCATGAGCCACTGCACCCAGCCTTTTCCAAACTTTTAGATTTCTCCCTCGGATAATTGGGAACACCAATTTTTCTTAGGTTTGGTTGCTTAACATAATCTCAAACTTTTTGGAGGCTTTGTTCACTAAAATTTTTTTTTTGTCTTTATCAGATTGCATAATTTGAAAGCCTTGTCTTTGAGCCCCAAGTTCTTTATTCTACTTGTTTGATTCTATTGCTGAGACTTACCAGGCATTTTACATTTCTCTACGTGTGTCCTTTATTTCCAGAAATTGTGAATGTGTTTTATCTATGCTATGTATTTCACTGAAGATTTCTCCATTCATATCTTCTTTCTTTCTTAATTTCTTTAAGTTGGACTTAACCCTTCCCTGGTGTCTTCTTGATTAGCTTAATAATCAACCTTCTGAATTCTTTTTCTGGCAATTCACACATTTCCTCTTGGTTTGGATCCAGTGTTGATCAGCTTATGTAATTTTTTGGGGGATGTTAAAGAGCCTTGTCTTGTCCTATTACCAGAATTGTTTCTCTGGTTACTTCTCATTTGGGTAGACTATGTCAGAGGGAAGATCTGGAACTCTAGGGCTGCTTTTCAGATTCTTCTGTTCCATGAGGTGCTCCCTTGATTTGGTACTCTCCCCCTTCCTCTAAGGATGGGGCTTTCCTGAGAGCCAAACTGCAGTGATTGTTATTTCTCTTGTAGATCCAGCCAACCAGCAGAGCTACCAGGTTCTGGTTGGTAGAGGGGAATTTCTGCAAAGAGTCCTATGATGCAATCTGTCTTTAGGTCTCTCACCTGTGGATACCAGCACCTGCAACTGCAGAGGCAGCAGGGGAGTGAAGTGGACTCTATGAGGGTCCTTGATTGTATTTTTGTTAAGTGCACTGGTTTTGTGTTGATTGGCCTCCAGTTAGGAGGTGGCACTTTCAAGAGGGCATCAGCTGCAGTAGTATAGAAAGGATACAAGCTTGCCCTAGGGTCAGGCAGTGGGGAGGCCTATAGAGCTCCCAGGAGATTATGTCTTTGGTCATCAGCTACCAGGGCAGATAGAGAAAGACCATCAGGTGGGAGCAGGGTTAGGCATGTCTGAGGATTGCTGCCGCTGCTGTGGAGGAGGGGGGTGTGCTCCCCAGGCCGATGGAGTTATGTTCCCAGGGGGATTATGGCTGCCTCTGCTGTGTCACACAGGTCACCAGGGAAGTTGGGGAAGGTTGGCAGCTAAGGGCCTTACCCAGCTCCCACGCAACCTGCAGCCTGAAGGGCTGGTCTCACTCCCACTGTGCCATTACAACAGCTCTGAGTTTATTTCCAGCAGGGCTGAGAACTTGTCCCATGCTTCAAGCCTCCCAGCTGAGAAAGCCAGCTGACTCACAGTTCCTTGGCGGTCCCCCAGAGCCTTCAGTGGCAATCCAACTCCTTCAAAGGGTCTGTGGATCCTCTCAGCTTTCCTGGGATGTTTCTGTGGTAGTTCTTGTAGCAAAAGTTCGCAATGTGCAACTGCACATACTGCTCTGTCCATCTGAGTGGGAGCTGCCAAGTTAGTCCTACCTCCTATCCACTATTTCCTCTCATTCTCTTCTGTTTTAGTGTCTTAAGATGAATATGGCTACATATTCTTCTTGTTCAATGGGTTAGTGTGTGTGTGTGTGTGTGTGTATTATTGGTTGTTTTTTTTAGGTTGTGCAGTTCCATTGAATATAAGTTTCTCTGGGTCCCCTAATTTGTAGAAATGGTTATTCTCTTTTTCCTTGATTGTCAATTTGTAATTTCAATTTTCCTTTCATCTTTGATTCTGGAGTTTTCTGAAATGTAATTCTGAATTCCAAAACATTAGAGGTGGTGGTAATGTTACCATTAATTGATTTATTTCCTGTTTCTATAGCTTATGATCAAAGAACGTGGCCTGTTAGATAGCTATCTTTTTGAATTTGCTAAAGTTTAAGTTTACTTAGTGGCCAAGAATAATTTTGGTAAATGTATCACTGACTTTTATCTATTTTTTTTTTTTTTTGAGACAGAGTCTTGCTTTGTCACCTGGCACCAGGCTGGAGTGCAGTGGCGCAATCTTGGCTCACTGCAATCTCCACTTCCTGGATTCAAGCAATTCTCCTGCTTCAGCCTCCCGAGTAGCTGGGACTACAGGCGCACGTCACCAAGCCCAGCTAACTTTTGTATTTTTTAGTAGAGACAGTGTTTCACCATGTTGGCCAGGATGGTCTTGATCTCTTGACCTCGTGATCCGCCCGCCTCGGCCTCCCAAAGTGCTGGGATTACAGGCGTGAACAACTGTGCCTGGCCTGTATCACTGACTTTTATAAAAAGCATGCACATTCTCCATTTAAGGGTTGTAAAGTCATATGTCTACTAAATCTAGTTTGTTGTTTATTTATTTCCTCCATATGTATATAGCTTTATGTAATGTTCTTCTTTAAATATTTGGTGCTTTTAACCTTAAATTATAACTTATCTAATATTTGTAGTGATGTCAACATTTTGTTTATAGTTGTCTGATATCTCCTTATCCTTTAATTTTTTAACGACTTAAGAATTTTGTAAAGTATTTTAAAATATTTTAACAAAGTATTTCTGAGAAACAGCTATTAGCTTTATTTTGCTTTTAAAACTAATCTGATAATATATGCCTCTTAATGAAAGAAATCAGCCTGTTCACCTTTTGGTATGACATCTGATATACTTGGTATTATTCCTTATTTATTTAATGTCATAGTTTCTTCTTTTACCTTTATTTTTGCTAATGAAGTTGCTATTCATTTCCCTCTTGCCAATTAAGTGTCTAAAAAATTTAGCAGCCATATTATATATTTCTAGCTTATTTTTTTATTTTTCATTTTTTTTATTTTTTAAAATGAGCCCTGCCTAAGCAAGGTATCAAAAAATTCAGTTATAACTCATAATTGTTCATCTTCACAGAAATCTTTAGTAAATGGCAAAATATTTATTTATTATGAAGAGAAACCAGAACATCCCATCTTGTTTATTATATATTTACATTTAATCACACTCATAATGCAAGTTTCATAGGTTTCCCCTCCTCTTCATCTTTTATGTAACTTTGGATTTTATTCAAATATATTTGTTTTTCGATTAATGTTCTTTCCTATTTTTTTTTCCTGAAGGAAAATGGGGCAAAATATTTCTATGAATCTTAACGCAAAGATATTTTTCTGACAGACTGGTTAAGTTTGGATTCCTGAGTTGCAATACTTCTTTTTTAACTTTTAGATAATTTTTTGTTGTTTTTTGAGACAGAGTCTCACTCTGTCACCCAGGCTGGAGTGCAGTGGCACAGTCTCAGCTCACTACAACCTCCACCAAGTGATCCTCGTGCCTCAGCCACGTGAGTAGCTAGGATTACAGGCACCTGCCACAGGACCCACCAGCATGCCTGGCTAGTTTTTGTATTTTTAGTAGAGATGGGGTTTTGCCATGTTGCCCAAGCTGGTCTTGAACTCCTGAGCTCAAGTGATCTGCCCACCTTGGCCTCCCAAAATGCTGAGATTGCAGGCTACAATACTTCTTTCTTGTTAGTAGGTATCATTCCAGTGTTTTCCAGTGTCTAAAACTACTGATGAGATGTTTTACCTTTGTGAATGGTAAATTCTTTACCATTGGAAGCTTTTAATAATTTCCTCTTCATTGCTAGATAAATTTATTAGGTATACACACTTTTATATATTTTTTATCAATCTTCTCTGTGCTTCAGTGAGCCCTTTTGTCTACGAATCCAGGTCTTTCTGCAATTCTTTTTCTTAATTACTGTTTATTTTTGTTTTGTTCTCCCTCTGGAATTATTATTGCCTGCTAGATCTTTTGAATCTACCCTCCTAATCTTTTCCCTTATATTACTGGACTTTTAATTCTTGTTTTTTGAGTTGTGTTATTTAATTTGATCATTTCATTCATTATTCAATACTTCAGTTCTGGGTAACACTACTATAAAAACTAAACAAAATTCATGGACAGCTACTTGAGGACTCTGAAAAGTAAACAGTCACAGGCAATCCCATGACAGAGATGACTACAGCTAGAAATGGTGGGCTGCAGAAGCCAGAACTCTGAGGGCGGGAAATTGTTTTCTCTCTTCATCTGAGCCACGATCCCAAGAGGGTAGAGGCAATCCCCATTGCTTAATACCTCTATTTTCACTTCTGAGGCCAGACTTGGGCCTAAACATGGAAGTATGTGGCAGGACAGGGTAACTGAAGCCTAAAATTTCTGGCTGGATGGCCAAAATAGAGAGTCTCAGAGAACTAGAACATATTCAAGAGATCATAGACAAGAACGGCTCAGGAAAGTGATCCCATAAAGTTGTTTATAAACTCCAGAACTCATCCCTGAGTGATGCATGCATAGATCTAACGCTGAGTAATATACAAAGGAATTTGAAAGTTGCTAACCACTCAGGTCACAGACTGACCACTGAATGGCATACACTTGGGGCAGATCTGAAGAAACTTTGAAAACTGAACTAACATTAAAATTACAGTCCCTATAAGTAGGTAGGTTCTTGTTGCCTCAAGAACTTTGCTAAGCAAATGTTAAAACAAAAACATCAACATTCTTCATAGGATTAAAATAAGATCCAGAGTCTTATAAGAGTATTCAAAACGTCCAGGATGCAATCCAAAATTTCCCTGTATATGAAGAACCATGAAAATTTCAACTTGCATGGGAAAAGACAATCAAAAGAAGCCAAAGCTGAGATGACACAGGTGTTGAGATTATCTGATAAAGACTTCAAGGCAAACGTTGTAAAATGCTTGAACTTGAGCAACACTGGCATGGTGGTTTGAGCCTGTAACCCCAGCGACTCCCTGTGAAGCTGAGGAGAGGGACATCGCTTCAGCCTGAGAATTCAAGACCAGCCTTGGCAACACTGTGAGGCCCCATCTCTAAAAATAAAAAAAGCTTGAGCAAGCCATTGTGCACACCCTTGAAACGGTTATTAAAATAGAAAGTCTCAGCAAAGAAATAGAAGACATAAATAAAAAAAACCTAACGGAAATTTTAGTTGTCAATGTAAAATTATTTTAACTTAATGTATTCACTAATAGACTGGAAAAGGCAGAGGAAAGAATCAGTGAACTTGAAGATAGAGCAATTAAAATTATATATTCTAACAACATAGAGGAAAAGATTGGAGGGAAAAAGAACAGAGCCTTAGGGACCAGAGGAATGATTATGAAAGGACTAACATTTATGTCATTAGAATTATAGAAGGAGAGGAGAAAAAGTGTAGTGTAGAAACAAATGTTGGAAAAGATGGCTGGAAAGTTCCCAAGTTTATATAAAGATACAAGTCTACGAATTCTAGAAGCAAAATGAACCCTAACTAGGATAAATCCAAAGAGATCTGCAACCAGACATATCATAATCAAACTGCTGAAAACTAATGATGAAGTCTTCAAAGCAACCAGAGAAAAATGATAAATTACTTACAGGAAAACAATGATTTGAATGGCTGCAGATTCCTTTTCAGAAACCATTAGACCTACTCTAAAAAAATTGATAAACAATGTTCTTCGGAGAGAATAAAAAGATATAAGAAGGAAATCAGAGACATCACGAATAAAGAGACAGCAACAGAAATGATAACTATCTGGGTAAATGTAATAGATTATTCTTTTCCTTAAAATATGATCGATGGTTAAAAAAATTATAATGTCTGATGGACTATATAATGTATGTAAATATAAAATATAAGACAATATATACAGTGGAGGGGAAAGGGTGATAAGGCTTTCGTATGCCAAATGAAGCAGTAAAACAATGAAATGATTTGAAGTACACAATGAAAAGTATGTATTTTATAATTCCTAGAGAAACTACTAAAATTTTATACAAAGATACTGTCAAAATCATAACATATAAAATAGAAAACTAAATAATGTTTAAATAGTTCAACGAAAGGAGGAAAGGGAAAACATAAATATGGAGCAAGTAGCACTCTTACCTACTAGCAGTGGGAATGGAAAATGCTTTTGGAAAACTGTCAGTTTCTTAAAAAGTAAAGGATATATCTAGTTGCTCCACTGTTAGGTATGAGCTTAAGAGAAATAAAAGCATATGTCCATACAATGACTCACACATGAATTTTCAGAGCAGCTGTCAATGTATTAGTCCTGAGCTAGAAACAACTCAGATGTCCATGGACAAGCGACTAGATAAACTGTTGTATATGTGCAGAGTGGGATACTCCACAGCAATAAAAAGGAATCGATACATGCAATTAACATGGAGAAATTTCAAAATAATGTAATTATGCTGAGTAAAAGAAGCCAGACAAAAAAAAAATTCCATTTATATATTCTAAATATGCAAACTAATCCATAGTGACCTAAAGCAGATTAGTGGTTTCTAGAGAAGGAAGGGGGTAAAGCAGAGAAAGAAGGGAGGGAAGGATTATAAAGGACCGTGACAACATTTGTAGGGTAATGGATGCTCTCCTGATTATGGTAATGGTTTCAAAAGTAAATATCTGTGAGAATTCATCAAATTGTATATTCTAATTAAATGTGCAGTATATGTCAATTATAACTCAATAAAGTTGTAAAAAGTTTTTCAGAGGGTGTAAATTGTGAACACTGCATATCAGTCTTCACACTTTTGCCCTTACATGATGACAAGGAAGAACAGTAGACATTTCCTATAAATAAAATGGAACTATATAGTTGTTTAGTTAAGCAAAAACATCACTTAATGATGGAAATATTTTTTTAAAAATTTAGGCTGGTTGTGGTAGTACACACCTATAATCCTGGCACTTTGGGAGGTAAAGGCAGGAGGATCACTTGAGCCCAGGAGTTCCAGACCAGAATGGGAAACACAGGGAGACCCCATCTCTACAAAAAATTTAAAAATTAGCTAGGTGTGTTGGCACGTGCCTGTGGTCCCAGCTACTTGGGAGGAAAAAAAAATTATTTTAAATTCTTAAATATTTTATTTGACTTAAACATATGTAAGTAGTCCTCACTTTGCAGAGTGCGATATGAATTTCAGTTACCACAGTTTATTAACTGTGAGAAATAGCATAAGTTTGCTACTAGGTTTTCATTTCAAATTACATAAATAAGATATGAATCAAAATTGGTGATCAATTTGCAATTTTACTTCTTTCAGAGTCTACGGGTGATTGGTCACTGTGCATGTTATTCAGTTCACACGCAGGCTGCAAAGCATGTAGGTTTGTTATTAATATTTCTGCGCTCTTGAAATAAACCCACATGGAATTTTACAAATTAAAAGAGGATATTGGCCAAAAGAATGAAAGTGCACTCAAGAAGAGTGATAATACTAGAAGTGAAACTTGCATTAAACATAAATGGAGCAAAAGAAAAAAATTGCTGCCTGTGGGAACATGCTGATTGTGAGAACAATGACACTGGTGACACTGGAGACATTTTAGACATTTAGACTGAGGAAATCAATGAAGGTGAACTTATAGACATAAATGAGGAAAAGTGGTTGTGATGAAAGGCTCCTGATCTGTCAGAGGAAATGACACTGGCAAAAAAAACACATTAAAGGAACTCTCAGAGATATTTCACAACATTGAAAACGTAAGGGATAAAATGTTGGAAACTAATATTTACATTTCTCCAGAACGCAGAACTCATATGCAACTGTGTTCTCCACTGTCCAAATAAATATCTTCACAGGTTTCTCAATTCATGTGGGCAAAATTAAAAGTAAAATTTGCTTCTTCCCTTTGGAAAACCCTCTCTCAGAGTATATTATCAACATTCAACTTCTTATACAAGACATAGACCTGGGAATCATTATTCATTCCTCACTTGTCCAATCAATTTCCATGGCCTGCTGATTCTATCTCTTAGATGTTTTTCAAATCTCTCCATTTTCTTTATTGTACCTGGCAACTCTGTGGCCCAGGCTTCCATCATCTCTCTCCTGGACAAGTGTAATCATAACAGTTACCTAACTTGGCTCCCACTCTTGTTCTCAGTTGCAACCCATTCTCCAAGTAGAGAACAAACTGCAATAGCTGTTACTTTATTCTTATCCTCACACCTCTACCCAAGTACACAAGGCTCTTCCTCATCTAGTTTTTGTCTACTTCATCTCTTGCCAATGGTCCCTACCCCAATTCTCCGATCTGGTCATTCTGAACTTTGTTCAATTCCTGACCTGTGTCCTCTGCCTTTAATATGCTGCCTGACACACAGTAGGAACTCACTAAATATGTAGACTGAATGTAGTCCTTGGAGGGTAGTTATTCTCTGGAGTAACTTAAAAGAGAAGGAATACAGTAAAGCGAAGCATTCTTATTTAGGTTTATAGTGTCTTCACCTGAGCCCGAGGGCGAACCCACCTGCCTGCAAGTTGTTACCAGTAAATAAAAAGCATCCTGTTTTCGTAAGCCACACGGAAGAGGGTAAATACGAGTCTGCTGGCAGGAAAGTGATGAGATGGGAAAGTGTGGGGAAAGCTTACAATTATTGGTCCAGATTCTAACTGGCCTGTTAGCCAAAAAGGTTTTCTTTACCTCCGTGTTGACGCTGCTCTCCGCAGGCGAAGAGGGTCCTCCAAACCAGTTTGTCGCGCGGACAAAAACCCCAGCATAGCTTGTCCTCACACCGGCTACAGCACTGGACGTCGCCATGACAGAGCTCGGGGGCGGGGCTGGAACAGCAGAGTCTCCCATTGGCCAGGCGGTGATATATCCGGCCAATGGTGAGCGCCGTTACTAGAAGGGCTAGAGGATGGAGGCGGGCCTGACTTCTCCGCCACCGTAGGCTGGGTAGGCAGCTGGAGCATTACCCTTACTGCGGTTCCGGCAGCTGACAGCGCTGGGATCTGGGTAGACGGTATGGGTTGGTCTCAGGATTTGTTCCGCTTCTTGTGGAGGTCGCTGTCGAAGGAAGTGAAGGAGCACGTGGGCACGGACCAGTTCGGGAACAAATACTATTATATCGCGGGGTACAAGAACTGGAGAGGTGAGGTGAGGGCAAGGGCAGTGGCTGCGTGGTCAGTAATGGAGGGAATATAAGAGCGCCTACTCAACTAATGCATCGTGCGACATTTAGAATGTCACCGGAGGGAATTTCCCGATTTCGTTGGCAGCTGTCGACCCCTTCACTCCGGAGTCGGAGCCCTACCCGGCCCTACCCGGCCCTGCCCTGGGCGCCTTTCCCCGGCGGTCTGACGCCGTGGCCCGGCCTCGTGCGTCCGCAGTCACTGTGACCCAGCGTCTTACCCCGGCGCACGAGCTGCTCGCGTTGTTAAGACGCACACCCCTTTTCTCCCAGCCACCCCGGTAGAAGGGCCTCAGTTTTAGTCCTCGACTGGCGCCGGAGGCGGGGAAAAATACACGGAAATCTTTTACCAAAGGGTCTAGGGAAGGCCAGGGAAGGGGTTTTTCGTACGCGGTGCCCCTCTCCCCCCAACTTCCTTGTGCCCCCGAGCTGAGTGGTGTGATTGAAGAGGAGTATCTTAAGCTCCTCGTCTGTCCTCTTTCTTGGTGTTTGCCCTTTTCTTTGGCACCCTGGCTCCGGACCTGGCCCCATGAGCCTTACTCACAACCAAAACTTCTCAGACGTAGGTCCATATCCCCACAAGGCTCGCTGATTCCGTCCGTTCTCGGGAGTTTGCATTCCAAGACCACGATGAGCTCAATTTAAGAAATACGGCACTATTCGTGGTATTTCTGTCTAGGATTCGTGCCAAGTAGTGGAGCGGGTTGTCTGGGGAGTAGGAGGCGTTGCTGTCCATTTAAGTCACACTGTGTAGCCGCCGTCATAACATCTGTGTTTTCCGTCGCCGCAGGCAGACGATGTCAGGCTTTAGGCGAAGAGGTGTGAGTTAGAATCTCAGTTCTGACAACTAATAGCTCGGGAATCACAAAGTAGTTGTCGTCTCCAAGTCTCATAATCCTCACTTGAAAGGTAGAGATAATCTAAGAACAGTAATGTTGAGAAGCACTAAGACCTTTCCAAAATTGTGTGCCATTCATTTCCCACACATATAAAACATATTCTGTGATTTATCACTCAAATTTATTTATTTATTTTTGCCTAACCTTTTTCTGTAACTTCTTTTAATATTTAGACCTGTTTCTCTAATGAGCTCCTTTGTCATGTAGAGAATAGGTCTCACGAAAAAAGAAAAACGCCCACAACGAACCTAGCGAGGTATTAAGTATTTCTTGACAGATTTCAAGCAGAGAGAAAGATGTTTCTTTTCTATAAGTTGTCAGTAACATTAAAAAAAGTGCAAACTGTCAGATTTTTAAAAATTGAAGTATAATTTACATACAGTAACATTCACCCTTTATAGTACAGTTGTATGGTTTTTGACAAATGAGTACAGAGCAACATCACTGGAATCAAGTAATAGAATAATTCCATTACCATCAGAATTTCCTCTAACTCCTTAGTAGTTCATTCCCACACCCTTTGGCAACCACTAGTGCGTTTTATGGGTCTATAATTTTGCCTTTTCTAGAATATCATATAAATGGAATTATACAGGATTTAGACTTTTGACTCTGGCTTGCTTCACCTGGCATAATGCAGTTGAGATTCATCCATGTGTCAGTAGTTGTTCCTTTTTATTGTTCAGTAGTATTCCATTGTATGGGTTTGCCAGTTTATCTGTTTACAAGCTGAAGTACATTAGGTTGTTCCCAGTTTCTGTGATTATGACAAAAGCCTCTACAAACATTCCCATACAGGATTTTGTGTGAACATAAGTTTTCATCTCTCTTGGGTAAATACCAAGTAGTGGGATTACTGGGTTGTGTGATCAATGTTTGTTTAACTTTATGAGAAACTACCAAACGGCTTTTCAAAGTGATTTTACCATTTTGTATTCCTGCCAGCAATGCATTAAAGTTCTAGTTGTTTCCACACCCTCACCAGCACTTAGTATTATCTGTTTTTGTTTGTTCCTGTTTTTGAGACAGAGTTTTGCTTTTGTTGCCCAGGCTGGAGTGCAATGGCATAATCTTGGCACACCGCAACCTCTGCCTCCCTGGTTCAAGTGATTCTCCTGCCTCAGCCTCCCAAGTAGCTGGGATTACAGGTGTGCACCACTATGCCCCACTAATTTTGTTTTTTAGTAGAGACTGGGTTTCTCCATGTTGGTCAGGTTGGTCTTGAACTTCTGACCTCAGGTGATCCACCTGCCTCAGCCTCCCAAAGTGCTGGGATTGCAGCATGAGCCACTGTGCCTGGCCAGGCCAGTATTATCCTTTTTTTTGGTGTGTTTTTATTTTTATTTTAGGCATTTTGATAGGTGTATGGTGGTATCTCATTGTGATTTTTTTAAGTTTCATTTTCCTAATGCCTGAAGATGTTGACAGTCTTTCTATGTGCTTATTTGCTATCCACAGATCTTTGGTGAAGCATCACCAAAAGTTCAAACCTTTGCCCATTAAAAAAATACATTGATGGCCATGGTTCACACCTATAATTCCAGCACTTTGGCCAGATCACCTGAGGTCAGGAGTTCCAGACCAGCCTGGCCAACGTGGTAAAACCCCTCCTCTACTAAAAATACAAAAATTATCCGAGTATGGTGGCACGCACCTGTAATCCCAGCTACTATGGAGGCTGAGGCAGGAGATTCGCTTGAACCTGGGAAGCAGAGGTTGCAGTGAGCCGAGATTGTGCTACTGCACTCTAGCTTGGGTGACTGAGTGAGACTGTCTCAAAAAAAAAAAAAACAACAAACAAACCCCAAGAAAATCCAAAAAATACATTTATATAAGTTTTTTATATCATCCATTTCTATAGAGATACAATATCATTAAAGTTTCAAATTACTGGTCATATCTATTCTACAATAACATGAATATTTTTATTTTTACATATTCTTAGTTACTCATTTGTATTTTTTCTTGCTTAATTGTAATTGCATTTTAAGAGTTTTATTGAAGTATAATTGACAAAATAATTTGCTAATGCTTAAAATGTATAATTTGGTAAGTTTTGACATATGTATATATCTGTGAAACCATCAACACAATCAAGAAAGTTAACATATGTAGTATCCACAAAATTTGTTGTGCCCCTTTCTAATCCTGCCCTATGCTTCTGCTTCCATGAATAGCTACTCACCTGATTTCTGACACTAGACATTAGTTTGTATTTTTTAGAATTTTATTTAAATGGAAGCATATAGCACAGATTCTACTTTTTTTTAGGTTCTTCACTCAGCATAATTATTTTGAGGTTCATCCATGTTTTTGTGAGCATCAGTAGTTTATTCCTTTTTGTTTCTGAGTAATATTCCATTGTGTGGATATATCATAATTTGTTTATCCATTCACCTTTCCTAGATATTTGGGTTGTTTTGGGTTAGGGACAATTACAAATAAATTGTGAACATTCATGTGTGAGTCTTTTTATGATCTTAATTTCTTGCTTCCTTTTAATGTGTTTTTCTGGGTTTGTTTTCAGGGTAATGTTGTCCTTATAAAATGAGTTGAATTGTGTTTCATTCTTTTGAATTTTCTGGAAGAGTTTGTGAAGAATTTGTATTATTTATTTCTTACATGTTGGGTATAAATTGCCTGTGAAGCCATCTAGTCCTGGAGTTTTCTTTGTTAGAAGGCTGGAATTAAAAAATCAAAGATAATAAATTTTTAACTCACAAATTCAATGTCTTTAACAGTCATAAGACTACTCAGGCTATCTATTTCGTCTTAGGTGAGTTTTGGTAGTTTTTATCTTTTGAGTAGTTTGCCCTTTTTATCTAATATGTTGAATTTATGGTCATAAAATTTTTGTAATACGTCATTTTTTTAAATATTTGTAGGATTTATAGTGATATCCTTCCTTTCCTGAATTGATAATTTGTGGCTATTCTTGTTTTCTTGGTCTATCTGATGAGTGGTTTGTTAATTTTATTGATTATTTTAGAAAATCAGCTTTGAGTTTCATTGATTTTTCTCTGTAAGTTTTTTCCATTGGTTTCTACCTTATTGCTTACTCTTATATTGTCATTGTTTTCTTCTACTTTCAGTTGGTTTTATATGTTCTTATTTTTATAGTTTCCTAAGGTGGCCACTGAGGTCATAATTTGAGCTGTTTATTTTTTAATGTATTATTATACATTTTTAATGCTAAAATTTCTTGTAGTAACTGTTTTGACCACATTTGACAAATTTTTACATTAAAATTTTTTTCATGCAACTATTTTCTTATTTTGTCCATGACCCATGTATTTATTTAGAAGCCTGTTCTTTAATTTACAAATATTTGAAGATTTTCTAGATATCTTCATTGACTTCTAGTTTAATTCCATTTTATTCAGAGAACGTATTTTATATGATTTAAGTTATTTTAAATTTATTGTAAATTGTTTTATGGCCTAAAAATATGGTGTGATTTGGTAAATGCTCTGTTTGCGCTTCAAAAAAATGTATTATATATGTTTCTATTTTGGGTTGAATGTACTGTAAACGTCAGTTAGCCCAAGCTGGTTGATACAGAGTTGTTCAAGCTTTCTGTATTCATACTGATTTTTCTTTAAACTTGTTCTATCAATTATTGAAAAAAGTATGTTGCAGTCTCTGAATATATGTGTACATTTGTCTTTTATTCTTTCCAGTACTGTCAGTTTTTGCTTCATGTATTTTCAATACCTATTTTTATGTCCTTACACATTTATGATTGAAAGATAGTAATAAAATTCACCCAAAATAAAACACAGAGAGAAAAAAGACCAGAAAAAAAAGAGCAATTAGCAAGCTGTGGGCTACCCTCAACTGGCCTAATATGTGTAACTGGAGACCATAAGGGATAAAGGTCATTTTGGAGACCAAAAATATTTGAAAAAATAATGGTCAAAAATATTCAAAATTTGATGAAAACGAAAAATCCACAGACCTCAAAACATTAACAAATTCCAGATGAAAGAAAAGTGTAGAAAACCACACCAAGGCATATTATAATCAAATTGCTAAAGGCCATTAATAAAGAGAAAATCTTTA